GTGGGCCAGACGATGCCTCCCTCCGAAGGGTCGTGTGGGTCTTCTGTCGCACTAGGCTCATCATTTCCATAGTGTGTTTAATGGTCACACAACTCGCTGGCTTCAGTGGACCAGTAAGTACAATCGATCCTTTTTCTTACATCCAGACTGGCCTCTGTCCCACAGCCAGTGCTAATGTATTCAAGTTGCATTGCAGAGGAACTCCTAGGTGTTGTGATTAGTTAGAAACATGCCTTCCAGCTTACAGAGAAGAAATAGGCCTTCCAGAATGCTGCAGGAATCCAAAGGCTTTAAAACTCTCCCTCCCTCCCTCTCTCCCTCTCTCCCTCCCTCCCTCTCTCCCTCCCTCCCTTTTTCTTGATTTTTGTGTACCTAAGGTTTTATTGCTTGCTATCAGTGGCTGTAGCTGGAGAGGGGGAGGCAAGGAACTTTCCTGGGCTAAAACTACTATTATCTATGAATACAGTTGTAAGTTACTTGTTTGGATCTCTCTTTCCAAGAAATGGAACTGAATGCTGGTGACAAGTTACATTTTAAGATTTCTAGGAACTGGGGTTCATAGGAGTTGATAGAGCTAGTGTTGTTCAACTTGTGTGAAAACACAGTTGGACAGGTACCAGTGGCATGATTAGATTGCTCCTAGCAATGTTGGTTGATGAGGAAGAGCGCAGCATGTAGGACTTCATATTCACAGCATTTTCTTTCGCCTGTTTGTTGCACGTGCTGTGCAAAATTTACTCTTTGACATCTTGACTAAATCTATTCTCTACAAATTTCCCTTGAGGAGTAGGAGCAGTGTTATTGCTTGTAGTACACATTTCAGTGTGCTGATAAGCGGGAAGGTTCAATGCTCTGGGTAAGTACAGCTGAGGTTAATGTTGAAATAGTTTTGTCTTCTGTCTCTTAAAAAACCCAATCTTATCCCATCCTTAAATCTGAAAAGTTTGCTTGCATTGCTTATAAAGAAGGAATTAAATAGTTTTTCTCAGTATTTTTTTTTATTGTTGTTGTTATGGGAATTAAAGTTCTCACAAGCAATTTCATTGGATATGCTTTTAATTGTCAGTAAGAATGAGGTTTTAACAGAACCAGTTCCCCCAAGAAGAGCTTCTGTCATTGTTTCACTACAGGGCCCTGTGGATGCTCTTACTTCTAGCAGAGAGTGGGCAACTGAACTGTCATCTTTATTCTGCACTGTTTCAACCCATCAGGTCTGAAATACAGGACAAGAAAGAAGGAATAGCATGCAGTCTGTCCTGGATTTGGATATATGCAATAATTTGTATGCATCTTCCATTGTCCAGGAATTCATGTTACTTAAAAGAACTCTCAAGGTACTCCATTATTTGGAGTACGAGATGAATTCTTATCCCTACCCTTGGAGTTTGATTGCTGTCTCTACAGAAATTTCAGTGGTTTGGTTTGGTTTGCTTTTTGATCCAAGCATATATTTTCATGTGGAATTGATGCCTGGAAAAGAGGGTATTGATTTACTCCTTTGCACTGATAAATAAAAGCGAAGATTTTTTTGCAAGCTGCCTTTCTCATCTGAAGGTCCAGAAACCTAAAATTCTGGTGGGAAGTAGCAGAATGGGGTGGTTGCAATTCTTTGTGTTAATGATGCCTAAAAATAGAAGTGCTGTTGTTCATAAGCTTCTTGTATATCCAGACTTGCAACAGTCTGTCCTCTTTTTTAGCAAAGTAGTTTCAGAAATTTCTTGTCTGGTATCTGGTTTGCCCCACAACCTATTGAGACAGCGTATATTCTTCTAAAAGCCCTCAGCATCAGCATGAGATTCATTTTTTTTAAAGGAGACACCCCTATGTACATTTTCTAAACAGGTCAAGCAAAGCCCTCTAACTCCATCCGGCCAAGGCTTGTCAACCTTGCCTTGGTTTCCGTTGGACGTCTAGTTTCTCGTTGGAAAACTAGTCAAAGCGTTGAGTGAAGTGCCCTCAGAGGTCTCATTTGCAGAGGGTCTTGTGGGATGGGGGAAAGGGGTGGATTGGTTGGGAGAGCCATTTAAGGGAAGCCTCCCACTCTTCCAGGTTCACTCCAGTCACAGCTCGTTTTCTGCTGTAAAATGCTGGATGTGGATTGGGGGAATTTTCTCTGTAGTGGAGCCAATGACAGAAGCTGTTCTTTAGAATTTCCAGGATGGCTGTATTCTGCGATCAGAATGAGACAGTCAAGCTGGGCAGAATCCAACGCCAAGATGAAAGGTAAGGTGACGTTTATTTGTGGGAATGTTTACGACAGCCAGGCAGCTAAGGACAGCTACTACCATTAATAGTTTCAGGAATAATTTCCTACGCTTCTGCTAGTCTTGGGTAGCTGTATGTTTTTAAATGGAAACTATATGCTGGTGTTCTCGTCATGATTTTAACCAAAACGATGTTTTAAGATTGCATATATTGTCTCTCTTCCCCTTTTAATCTTTCTACAAGTACTTTCTTTACATCTATCACCAAAAAACCTAAGCCACTTTGTTGTTCTTCCCTGGAATTGCTGGTTCTGTGTGCAAAAGCCCCCTTACTCTCTAGTTATTACGGTAGAAGAGAGTTCCTGCCGATGTTGCATATATTACCCCCGGGGCCGTTTCCTCCTGTATGGCGTTGGTTTGTGAGAAAATGTTGGCAGCCCTTGTCAGCCTCTTGGGTCATAGCTTATGAACGTAGAGCACAGAATGGTTATTCGCTCTGCCAGTGACTTAATTTCAGTTGATGGATTGGATCCTAGAAAAGAAGCCAACAATCTTGTTGCTAAACAGTGCGAACCAGCCAATAGCCAGTTGTGTCTCGGATGCAGAGAAAGTAAAACCAAGCCCATGGAGGAGCAAGCTGGCGTAGTGTGACCTTGGAGTGTGAGCTCTTGTACTGTGATCAGAGATTTGTGTGAGGTTCTTCTTTTGCTTGTTTTGTTTTGTCTTTTTTTGGATCACTTTGGGCACATGATGGACATCTGGCTGTTAACATGTGCACGTGGAAACTCAGGGGAGGAATCATACCGCCGAATGAGTTCTCAGTTGGGAATTCAGAATCAACTGCCTCAGGACTTACCTCACGGGCCTTGCCTTCACTTTTTAACTTGTCTCTTGATCCTGGGCCTTTGCAGTTCTGCTCGTTGCTTGAGAGCTTTGATTTTCCACCCGTTCTTGCCCAGAACTGTGATTTGCAAAGCCAGTTTTAGTTGTGGGGACTTCCTGCAGACTCTGAAAATCTGCCCCAAGCATCTCCATCCTTTCACATTTTTTGTGGTGGGCAACAGTACTTCTTGCCTTTGATTAAAGAACCTTAAGCTCCAGGATTTCTAGGTGTCCTTGTTGGAAATGCCCAGCTGGAAAATCTTCCGTTTAGCAAAGCTGTATTAAACCAAAAAGGGAGCACATCTGGCCGCGGAAGCCTTCCCGATTAGCCACAAATGTTTCTCTCCTCTCTGGACTTTGTGAACAAATACTGATCCTGCTTTTTCTTGTAATATTTAATTTTTGTGTCTTTGCGAAATGTGAGCTCGATTTTGTGTTGGAAGCTAGAGTTGGATTCAGGCCTTGTGTAACGTTTTGTTGTGCATGCCGATTGTACGTTTTCCACCGTACCTTTCTTTTCTTTTGTACAGTGTTTGTGACATGCTCCTTCTCACTTTCATAAGATGCTACTGTTTTTGCAAATAAAAAGTTTCCTGCTTCCCATTTATTAGTACTTAATCTTGCTCCTGAACCTGAGTTGTAATACTGCACTGTCCCTTTGGCCAATGCACGTGAGTGGGGGATTTGTGGCTTGGGGGCTGTTTTTCTCTTTTTGCAGGTGGTGTTTTGAAATGTGATTCCTGAGGTAAAATTGTTTTTGTCTTTAAAAGGAGGGAGGCCAGGGGGGTGAGGGTTGAGGGCTGGTTTTTGTTTTTTGTTTTTAATTGGTATCGCCTGATTTGATTTTTTGTTTTTTTTCTTTTTCTGCTTGTCCTTTTCTTTACTTTTAAACTGCTGATGTTTATTTTCAGGAATGTTTTGCAAAATGTCCTTCTCACACTCTTCCCCAGTTCAACTGTAGGTACATTTGTTCCTTTTTCTCAAATAAGCACGTTTGAAACAAAGAATAAAAAGGTCTTATGTTTGTAATATGCTCAGTTTTTGCATAAGTACACATTATCATAAAATTTACAGCGATGATGAATTGCTTCAGCTAACTGTCAGGTTTATGTTAAGTTAGACAATATGTGAAGGAGCAGCCACAGGGCAGCATAAAGGATTGGGAGATTCTAAATTATTCCCCATTGCTTGATACGTTTGATTTCCTTTTGGAAATTCAGCAGGGTGTTGTGTAATACCTGCAGTTCTTACCTCTCAGAAGACTTCTGATTAATAATAAAAATTCCTGCCTGAGAATCAAATGGCTCCTCTTTTCTAACTTAACATAAAAAAAAAAAAATTGAATGGTTCCTCTGACATGCTAGGGTGTTCATGCAGTGTTGCATTTCTTCCTGTAGGCATTTGTGGTGAAACATCTCCTTGAATACACTCAGCAAACGGAGCCCAACCTACAGTACAGCCTGTTGTTAATTTTGGGCCTCTTAATGACGGAAATAGTGCGTTCCTGGTCTTTGGCTTTAACTTGGGCTTTAAACTATCGCACTGGGGTCAGGCTACGTGGAGCTATCCTTACGATGGCTTTCAAGAAGATACTCAGATTGAAAAATATCAAGGAGAAATCTTTGGGCGAGGTAAGCTGAAATGATGTTGGATCTCATTTTATTGATTGTTAAATTTATACCCTGCCTTTCCACGTACTTCAGCACTCAAGGGGCCATACAGCAATAAAACAGTATATAAAATAGCGAACGTGCCGCTAACTGCAATATAATCAAGAGTTAAACACTTGGCAAAGAGAAGTCATTTTTGCCATTTTTCTAAATACGGGGAGCCAAACGCACCTCATGGGGAAAGTATTCCATAGCCGGAAGCCCTTCTGAGCACCAGATAGCCAAGGCCTGACAGCAATGCTTCTTCAAAAGGGCTGATCTGTTCTACTGATCTAAATAACAGCTAAATTCATAATGGGAGGGAGAGTTCTTCAGATGGCCTCCCCTAAGTTGTTTCAAACTTTAAAGATCCATACTAACACCTTTACTTGTACCCAGTGGGTAATTGCTAATACAGTGGTGCTTAAAAGTTTGTGAACCCTTTTGAATTTTCAATATTTCTGCATAAATAT